CGAATTTTAAACTTTTTTTCGATTTTCTCATGAAATCCAGTGCAGCTGAGGTCCTGTTTGTGCGTACTTTAATTTAAGTAATAATACTTTTGCAATCCGTACATCCCATACGGAAATTTTTCACCGAATGGAAAAGTGGTAAAACAGGAGCATCGCCTTAATACGAAAGATTAATTAGTTAGAAAATTTGTACGTATGTGTGTGAGTGCAATATTGATATGGTAGTATATAAAGATATGTCGATGTATCGTATTTTATCGATAAAACAATGATCTCATCAAAGTTCGGGCTTCACTTTAGGATCCCCTTGAGAAAAATTTTGTCGTTCTCGGTATAAACTTCACCTCACAGACACGAATTAATGCGTATACTTTAATCCTGGAAAAGGATTTTCGAATCTGTAAAAGAGGAAAAGGATAAGTTCTTGCATAATACGTAATTTCGTTTTAGGAGAAAAATTTTTTTCTACACTTTGAATCGTAATTCCACAAATTCAGTATTGTTCGTTCAAGTTCTAAATCCCATTCTACGTTTATTTTTAATCTACAAGCTGTAAAACTTCTATATCAAGCCTTTTAATCTACAAGCTGTAAAACTTCTATATCAAGCCTTTATTCAATTTATAAAACTTTTATATCAATGTTAACTTCAGATGTCAATTGTATACAGTTGTACGTGCCACAAAATTAATTTTTTAATTTTTTTTCGATTTTCTCGTGAAATCGTGTTTCTTATTGAAATCGTGATTTCTTATTGTGTTTTTTAATTTTGTAAAAAAATTTTGCAATCCATGAAACCAATTCGGAGATTTCTCCTAAAATGTAATCATGGTAAAACAGAACGAAATCAGATATAAATACTTTTTTTACAACCGATTCTGGATTTAAATTCTTTTTAGTATGAAAGTAAAGTATGAACTACAATAAAAGATTGTGAATTGTATATTTCGCGAATATAATTTACATATCAACATCCGCGAAGGTACATACAAGCACTTCGCGTGCATCACATTTATTTTTAAAGCCTTATTAAAAAAATACTATTTTATTTTATTTGAATAATATATATACATATATATATAATTTGCCGTACTTTATTTTTATTCACAAAATAAATAAGATTTAATTAATTAACTTTCCTTTTTTATCCCATATCTATCAATATGCTCAAGAATGAAATCGATTATCGAGATATCTTTTCCCATTATATAATATGATTTTTTACATAGTTTCAGTGATCTATTGATGTCCGTGTCATGTAAAACACAATGTATTTTATCTAAATAAAAATCTATCTTACTTGCATAAAGTAAACCATGTGTTTCATATTTTAATATATTCGTATCGACCTGTTCAATTAAACGATTTAAATACCGTGCTATATTTACCATCCCCAAAATTTTATGCATTCTTGGCAACACCATAATGGGATCGAGTCCAATAGTTTTCCAAATTATAATTAAAGATAGATCCACATTTGCGTTTTTGCTGAAATGAGGCAAACCAAAGCTAGCAAGCTCATCAGGCAAGTTTGCCACTGTAGAGTGAACGTATGTTGATACAGAAACATGAAAGTACGGTGATATGAATTGCAAAAATGGTTCAATAAAGTAAATTGGATGTTTTGGATCGCAAAAAATAATAAGTTCCTGTAATTTAAAAAACTTGGGCTTTTTTGACAGCTTTTTCGTCACCTGCTTGATCTTTGGTTCTTGGTTTGACTGTGTTTTTACCGGCTTCTCTTCTTGCTGCATTCTCCATTGTGAACGTATCATTCGGCTAGTTCTGTAA